AATAGATCTCTTATCTAACAAGTGATAAATTATTCACTGGATTTAGATATTTTAAGAGAAACAACTTATAATTTATTATTTAAATAACCAAATGGTATTAAATGCTCCAAAATCTTTATAGGAAATGTACAGTTTTAGAAACTATGCTATTTGAACAAGCTAAAATCAGTAAAACATGATTAGCCAGTAACGAATTTTTTTTTATTCCCCATTCGTGCTCTCGTGGTTTAAGCAAGCACGTCAAACTTGCAGTTGCAAGGTCCAAAAATATATTAAATTTCTGTAAAATCTTTTAAAGATTATTCAGGTACTACATATCCGATTTGGCAATGGTTGCCATTTACTATTGTTAGGGTGAAAGAAGCTTCAGTAAATTACAGAATAACGAAAAAATTATGCAAAATCTTTTATTGGTAAAAAAAAAGTTCAAACGCGACTATACTTTCTCTAGAATATAAAGTCAGTTAAGTAATCAAGAAAAGTTATTGTCGATTTTGCTTATTAAAAGCAAAAAATATAAATTATAAGAAAATATTTTAAATTAATGCAATACTTTTTTATATTATTTGTATTACTATTACATTACATTTTTCATTGCTTTTTGCTATTTAAAAATAGTTTTTATTTAAAAATTAGCGATTTTATTTAAATCGTAGAATTTTTATTTAAAAGTTATACCGCACTGCATGCATTAATTTTCTGAATATAAAAAGCTGCGATTCAAAATTATTATAAGAATTATAGTATTATGATTTAATATATAGTTATTTTAGTTAAATATAAAATGTATGATATAGTTATTTTATTATATACAAAGGTACACATTTAACTCTTTGCCCCAAACAAAAACTAATTCTGTGCAGGACTCTGTTTCCAAGGCACACATTTAAAACTTTGCTCCAGAAAAAAATAAACCTATGCAGGGCTCTGTTTCCACGTATTGGATAGTGTTAACGAATTTGATAAATATCCGCATAACAGGGAAACCAGCATTAGCCAAAGGGTAAAACCGCTGAATATTGGTAGGTCGGCCCGGCCTCGAATCTCAGTTAACAAACTTACTACTTTAGAAAGTTTCTTCATATAAAATAAAATGTGTACCAATTTCCCTTATAAAATTTAAAGCGAAGGCATCCTTTTCCGTGATCAACAGGCCAAGTGTTATTTGCTATATTCAACAGAATAAAAAAAGAAACGCTCTCGTTAACAAGGCTGGCGAAATATCCATCGTTCGCAACCGGTTAAGAGTTGAAAACCGGGATTGTCCCAATTCAATATAAAATGTAAATGTTCTCAGTATTTTAATAGCAAAACCAGTAAACATAATAAAAAGATATCATCAGCTTCACATAGCTTTCAGATACATTTGTCTCATGATAAACTTTCCAGAAGAGCTTCGTTAAGGAACGGGAAAGAACGATGCCATTTTATATAAAACAAGTAAGAGAACTACTAAATAAGTTTTTAATTCAAATATATTTGTGTTCAAAAAATAAGCAACAAATGCAGACAAGCAAAACTACCCTAAAACGCAATCCCTCAGTTCCACCTAAAAAGGGACATGCGGAACCTATGCGTCAGTTCCTAAAAAGCGATAGTTCCGTGTAATCTGAGATTGCCAAGGCGGAAAGCATGAGACGAAGACACCATTTGCATGATAAAATGCTTTGGAGGGCTGTCAAGATTTGCAAGCAGGAACAAGACAATCCTCTGTTGCGAGAGAACTGAATGTGTATCGAGGTATTATTAAAAAAAAGCTGTGGAATCGTTACCAAAGGGATCGAAGCCTTGTAGAAGGCATGCATCTGGACTGGACGCCGGAGCATTAGCTAAACTGCAGACGATAGCTTCCTGTTGATATATGCAAGTCGCCATGTAACACTAACAGCACGTTAGATGCGTCGCATTACAAGGATGCGACGGCCTATATCCCACCAAACTGTGTCACGTCGACAGCATGAAGGTGGACTGTACGCCTTGCGACCTGTGGATTGTGTTCTTTGTTCCCATCGCCTGTCACAACGTTGCTGAATTGGGCCCATAAACATCGCAGTTGGACATCAGAGCACCTACTCTTTATGGATGACTTTTTGTTTAACATCTAGAATGATTTTCAAAGGAGAATGATACTGCGAGAACCAGCGGCACACTATTGGTTACCAAACATCGTCGAAAGAGACCAATACAGAGAAGGAGGCTTACTCGTATGGGCTGGAATAACAAAGAACGGCCTCACCGACTTCTACGTGATTCCCGGTGGTTTCGTCATAGCTGCCCGTCATATGAAAAGTGTTTTGATAACAGAAACTATATGAAAAATAACTGATGATTAGAGAAATCGAGGAAAAAATATTTTTAAAAAATGAATTGTTTATTTTTTACTGTGAACAGTGCATACTTAAAGAACAATACTTGTAAAACTGAAAGTAAAAATGTTAGAATTTTATGATTAATTAGCTTATTAAAAATTAATTATTTAAAATAAAACTAATTAGATGTTCCCTTTCGATGGGATCCGTAATATCTCGGTTACCTCAGTCAGTCATAAAACTGATAGTAGAACCACAAGAATTTGCTAAGAGAAACCATAAGACAACATCTGAAACTGCAAGAATTCCTTTTTAATTAATATTTTATTATTTTGATCTGAATATGAAATAAAATACAATTAAAATATCCTATACAATAAGCTTTTAAAATTGATTTGATAATTTATGCACTAAAAGGGGAAAAATAATTTATAATATATTTTAATGGGAATAATATACTAAATAATTCTGTTTACAGAAATCTTCTACAATTTTGTATCGCGAATAATAACAGCGTCGGACGTCCATGATAATTTAAGAAATTAATGATTTATAGTACATTTGACAGTGCAGCTAAAATAATGCATTTCATTATTTAAGTTCACTTTGCTTTTATTATTTGTGATATAAAACTGTAGATGAAATCTATAAATAGAATTATATAATCTACTATTCTCATTAAACTATATAAAAAGGCTCTCGTCAATGACAAGGCGTTGCCACGATAAATTTCGTCGGCTTACTCTGATGTCAGAGACCTGATCTGATGTTACTATCGATCGGGGGGAGATACAACAGTATATAAAAAAATATTTTTCTTCTTTCAGTACGTTTGTAGGGTCCAGGTGGGTTAACTTCTGTCTGGATACAGGAGTAGCAGGAAACTACACAGAAGAAGGATTCAAACCCTTTATTAACTCTTTAAAATTTACAATGCGTCAACTCAAAGCTAAAAAATTTCGCCTCTACTTGGGCGGTAACTGAAAAGCAGGTAATTAAAAATTAAAAGTTCAAATGTACAACAAGTGCTAAACTAACCTACGGGCTCAGCGAGATCTCGAACTTCAACCCCCTTCTAAGCTAGTGGTAGTAAGGCAATGCAATTAAGCCACTTGAAGCAGCAATAAGAAAATCGCATACTGCCAATTCGTCATCAAGTGCGGTAAAAGATGGCAAACTTCATCATTAAAGGCGCTAAAATGGCAAATTCGAAAGCAATTTTTCCATGAGAAACGCTTTTTTCCCGCATTTTCTTCATATGGCAGGATATTTTTTTTAAATGTAGAAAACCACTAAAATAATATTTTTTATTAAATCCGTGAAAATTTCAAAACTATATTTTTAGGTATTGAAATTTTAAAATAATATACATCAAATAGTCTAAGAAATTGCGAGAGTTTCAAAAATTTACAAAATGTTCAGAAATTCAGTTACAATTTTCATACAAGCTTCACTGAAAAGACGTTTTTGCTGTTTATTCCATGACATAATGAAAAATACTATTAATAGTTATTTTAATTCTTTCGTTATATGCTCAAAAAATCATTTTAAATTTAAAACATATAAAAAGAATTTTGAAATATTCGCTTCACCATGGTGCATTAACATCGACCAAACAGTGTGCACAAAATTTGAACTCTGTAGCTTATTATAAGTAAATTAAAAATTGATGACAAAATTCCACTCACAGTGAAACACTATGAGTAAACTAAATAAAAGGTTATGAAACTGAATTTTATTAAATCTTGAATCAGTATGTGGTTTGGCTGTGAATTTAAATACGTAATTTAGAACTTTCCTTCCATTTTCTACTGTACACTTTTGCAGATCGTGATTTCTGATTAAAAAAAATAACGAAATTTAAACAAAGCAATAGACCGATGTATTTTACAAAAACGTGTTGATCAAAATTTCACCCCTTCGACAAATTTTCTGAGGAAGAGTAGCAATAATGATGATGATAATTATAATAATGATAATACTAGTTAAATCTTCAAAAAAAAAAAAAAATAAAACGTTCTTATTATGCAATGTTACGAGTTTTTAGTTAAGACAGAAATCAACGGGAGACGTTAGGAATTAATGTTCCGCAGGACTACAATTTCATTAAAAACCAAACGATCGTGATCTTTTTTGCTTTTTACATTAAAAGTAGAATTTCTAGGTGAAAATTGCAATTTTCAGATTATTTCGTTAAGTCTTTCAATCCCGTGTGAAAAGAATTTTCATCACATTTGACGTGCAAAATTATTTTTGTCACTAGTTTCAAGGATTACTTCAGGGACGAGATGCCCGGTCACGCCATGTAAGAAACCCAGTATTGTTTCCTGCAGTGATTTGTCACTTTAGTTTTTTACTTTTAACTTGCACACCTCTTCCAGTACGTGGGTCTATGAATCGTCATATACTTTCACCTTAAGTGACACACGCAGTAGTGTCACCCCTGATTTCTTATCAACTATAGAAATAACGGAACTGGTTCAGTGACGACACTCGCAGAATTAGAAAACAGATATTTTAACGTGAATGTTAAATTCTTCCTTGAAATTCCTCTCATTTGAAAGTCAACTGCGTTTCTTCAATTAAAAATAAGAGCTCGTGGCGTCTATTGAATTGGTAAAAAATAAATAATCTTGATACCACCAAGGCTAAAATAATCTCACCAAATAAGTAAAGGCAGAGATTTTGAGATTCCTGTAGATAAGTCAAGGACATTTAGAAATCCTTATATATAGTAAGAGAAAAACTTGCAATTTTGTATAACTCTTGCTGTTTGCAGACGAGTGGTAAGTTATCCAAATTTCTCTGACAAGCGTAGGAAAGACCTTTTTCATCATGAATGTTCTGGTAAGTTTAACTTCAGTTTTTAGACCTTATCAACTGCTTCTTAACGATACCTTTTTGCTATACTCCTATCTTTGTTCGATATGCACTTCAGGAATTCTTTGCCTATGATTAGAACTCACAAATCAGATAATTAATTCGTTCATTTTCGACCCACTTTGTCGTATTTTATAAATTTAAAGATAAGTTTTATTTCAGTTTAATGTGCTTTCTCGCCTACGAACTACGCATTTCAGCTGTCCAGCACGTATCAACAAGCAATTGCAGAACGTTAATTACCTCATTTAACTCAAATCTAATAAGCTTGAAAAAGTGCTAACCCGACTGAGTGAAAAGAGAAGGATAAGGATAAGTATCAGAATGCCAGTATTCACTGTGGTTAAACGAATGGCTAGTCTTCCAACATAGATTAGAAAATGAACACCCAAAAGGTACACAAGGGAAATGATATCACATTATGCTTTAAGAAAATAAATGAATTTGTTCTCTCTTCCTCCCCCTCTTTTTTTTCTAATTAAAGGTACTTTTTATGTTATGCAAAAAATTTTGCGAGCAGTCAAGGGCTGCATTTGACAATGTTGAAAAACTACTTCAGTTTTAAAACTACTGATTTTGGCAAATAACAATTAATAACGAAAATAACACCTGTATTATATTTTCCAGTAAGCGAGTGGATAAGACCTCTGAATACTTGTATATCAGCTAGAAATCTAGTCCTGTCGAACGGGACAAGAGTTTTCATAACTTATCTCGTGTGTAATGCGCATATGAGCTAGTTTAAATTAGAAAACCCTCTACGAAAGCATCTTTCTTTCGAGCAGACAGAACACACGGGCTTTGCCTTATTCACTTATAGTTTTAAAATGTACTTATGATAAAAAAATACAACAAAAATTCTTAATACTAAACCTTTATGTTAATATAAAAAGTAAATTACAAAAGATGATATTTTCATGTTAACATTTTTATTAATAAAAGCTCAGCAAAATATGCGGTGATACATAAGAAAATATACAGGAATCTTAGGAAACAGCTGTAATGATATATATATTTAATGATTAAAATTCAGAATTATTATTTAATTAATGTGAGGAAAAATGTAAATATTAATCGTTTTATGTACTTTTTAACTCCTTAATTATTAATAAATTTTTAAATAAAGAATTTTAGAGAAAAATAAATAAAATATTTCTCACCAAATTTTTACCCTCATAGTTTGCTTTAAAATACTCTCTAAGGAAACATATTTCATTGTTATACTCGAATTATTATACTACTCGAATTATGGTAGAAAATAGATTTGAAATGAAAAAGGTTTTTCTAACAATTCTAGGTTGCAGTTATTTACAAATGACTGTAAACTATAAATCTAAATATTTATTAATCTAAATATTTAATTTAATTACCGTATAACCACACATGATTTTTAAAAATATTTATCACATACGGAAATTACACGATTAAAGAGACCCATTAGGCCTTTTATTTCTGCGCAGGAAAGGTGAAAATGTGCAGTACCCTAGCCGGGACTACTTCAGACCTCCCGATTGTTAGTCGCATGTGCTCTGCAATTAACCACAAAGATAGACGGCAAGAAGGGAGAAAATTCTTTAAATGGTCATTAAATTTTTTTTTTTTTTTTTTTTTTTTTGTAGCCAAATGTCTTCTAACATCATCTTTGCAAATATCAGCAATTGAACTCCAGTCTTCTAGCTGCTAGCTGGATGCGTAGACATTTGCATCATACGGCAGGGATATCCTTAAATCCTTATCTATGACTTTATTACAAAATCGCATAATTCATTTCCTACCTATTTAGAGGTATTTTCTATAAAATGCATATTAATATTATTGAAATGAGATCATTCTTAGTTATTCTTATGACGATTTTGTTTTATTTCCTACGTATTATTATTATTATTATTAAACGAAGAGATTATAATAATATTATATTAACATTATATTTAAAAAGTTATGTTCACCATTTCCATCGGTTTCTTTATAAATGTAAAGAAATTTTATGAGATGTGAGTTATTGGTCTTTCTTTGTCATATTTAGTCCTTAATTCTGTTAACTTATAGGAATATTCCGTTATTACACTTTAGTACAGTAAAATCAGCATCGTAACAATAAACCGAATTTTTGTAGACAATTTTTATAAGAATTTCCAAAAATGTTAGGCAAATATGTTTGCGCAGTAAAAATACATAATATCAAAAATAAATCAGATTATAAACGTACAAATATTTGGAAATTTATATTAATGTTAAGTAATAACTTTGTTTATTGCATGATTACGTATTTTTACAGCAAATCTATATTGTTGTGAGTAATTTTGTTGTCAAACTAAGCTTTAAAAATTAGTAATTTTACTGCCAGTGGCTAGTAAGGTATGTAATATGCATATCACATATGGATACAGATGATAATGTTTTACTGCAGTCACATATGGTAAGGTTTTATTGCCAATGGCTGATACGGTATTAAAATTTCATTTATTCGTCTCATTGTCTGATAAAATATTATTATCGAGAAATATTATTATCCGGAAGAGCAACTGACATAAATTAGCGACTACAAACATGTTTTCCTGCTTCTAAAGTGAATTAACTATCATTGGAACCCCCAGAGTTTTGTATTAAAATTTCATTACAATGTGCTATTTAATTATAATCGTGTATTCTCAAAATGCAATAATTTTTTTTAATTATTGTAGTACATGAAAGCATTTTAGCATACCTGTCTTCACTAAAAGTGCCTAAGGACAGTTATAAAAGTTTTATTGCTTTAAATTTCATTTAATAAGCACAAGAACGGCTACTTTAATTAAAAATAATTAATTAAAAGCAATGGTATGGATTTATTATCATGACCTAGCATCTAAATGGACTTAAATTTGGTCCTTAATGCTACGGTTTATCGATTAATTGGGCGAAATTAATTTTAAACTCTGCGGTTTCATATATTTATTAAAAACATTAGTTGACATGTTGTACGTGTAATGTTTCTTGGCGGATGTCATTCAGTTGATAGATAAATCCAGTTTATTAATTCCTTTAAGTCACAAATACTAGTACGTAAGACATAAATGAAAGTACTAAATATTTTCTTCCTCAGGTAACATTTTATCAACAAATAATTATAATGAAAAAAATTGTTTTTAATATAAACTCATATGCTTCGTAGTCCCAGTTTTATAAATTGTATTTAAAATGTATGCATTTTAATAAAAGATGCAACTTTTATTATGTAGTTTCCTTTTACTTGGTTAGATTTTAGATAAGTCAAAACTTCAAAAAGTAAAAGAAGCTTTATAAAAACTTATTATGAACTAAGAAGATATATACTTATTATTATACACTAAGAAGGTGCATATACATATATACTTTAATAAAAAGTACATGAAATTAAAAACGTCTCATTGTTGCTCAACTAAAGCAATTAAGAGAGATTAATTCAGATGTCGAAAAATACAATATAATTATTCATGAGTATGTCAAAGCACTTAAAATATCTCAAAAGAAAATTTTTCTGTTAAAGAAAAGAATGCGTGCTGAAAGCAGTAATTAGAATTAGATTTTTAACGGATTTTTTTAAGTTCCTATAGTAATTTGAAAAATGTTAGCATGAATCCTTCTGCATGAACATATCAATGAAAGATGTAAGTTAAAAAAGGCATTTTTAAAAACATTTATTTAAGTATACAGCGTATCGATAAAAATAGTCATGTATGTTGTAAGATCTGTCTGTTCTATTCCACATTAACTAGATCCTAAAATGAACCTGGCGAATTGTCGGACAGGCGTAAATGAAATGACAGCACAGAAGAAGGGTGAAACTAACTCTTTATTAACTCCAACTAATAACAGAAAGGCACGTGTTTAACAATAACACTCTGAACATGCGGTGAAACTTAAACGTAGAATATAAATCAATTCAAAATCTAATTAGAATATTGCTAGATTAGCACGCTAAATTATGCTAATTCAACAAATCCTAACAGGCGTGAAAATTATCCGAAAGGGCCAAGGAGCGTACGAGCGTAACAGCGGGATAGCAACAAAACGTCCTCTGGCTCGCGAAAACACACTCTGAATAAAGTCAGATATTCACCCGTTTAAATACTCACTTCACTTAACTTTAAATTTAACATCCTGGTGAGGAAATATGAGGGAAGTTGAGAAGTTCAGGAAAGGTATCAAACTTAAAATAATTTGTTATGCAAAATAAGGGAAACCCTACAATACTTAGGAAGAAGTATAAGAAGGTTTTGAATTAGGTATTTCAAAATGCTCTTCAAATGGTTAATTAATTCTTATATTATTATTCCGCTTAGGAAAAATTAATGAATAAACGTTAACTTATTATAAAAATTATTTCAAATATGAAATCAAAACCTAAAATTTCGTTAACGATTTAAAAATTTTTAAGAATATTTTTATTTTATCTGTTTAAAACCAATCATTTCAGATCATCGAATAACCCATGAACCGTTTCATCTAATGCAGATGAAAGATCAATGTATTATTCATATCCGTTATTGCTAGATTCCGCTAAATTAAAGTTTTATTAATAATATTATTCATATCCGTTATTAATACATTCGGCTAAATTGTATTGTATAAAGTACGTTAACAGAAGATTTTGAACATTTTTAATTCATATTAAATTCTAAATATTAGTATTTTGAACCTCTTTGAGAACGAGTAATCTCAACATTGTTATAAATTGCGTAAAATTTGGCCTTTGAACTTATTTTCAAATGAGAGCATTTATTGCATTTTAAAAGGGGAACGTTAGTATCTGTTTAAATCGGAGTTTCAAGAGGGTCTAGAATTATAGGCAATAAAATAAGCAAATCTCTTACAAAAGATACTCAATAATTTAAATTTTTAATAAAAATAATTTTTTATTCCTTATTCGCAAACTAATATCTTTCAACAGTATAATTCGGTTTAAATGATAAGTTATATGGAGACTTCTGCAATATGACTTAGATCGAAAATATTTCACCTTAAGCTGTCAAATAGAAAACTGATATGGTATATATATATATATATTACGCCATTACAATAATAGTATATTATATTACAATACATTACCATTACAATAATGGTATATTATATTACAATAATACATATGTATTAACACAACAACGGAAAAAGAACTCAATTTTTTTTCTAGTTTAAATAGTTGTATGTAATGCAATTGATTCTATTTTTACAGGTTGTTTTTTCAGTTTTTTGCCTTTTCACCAGTGGCTTAGCTACCTTTGATAACTTGTACTATCAACCATCCTCCTACATCAGCAGTTATGGATACCCATCATATAGCAGCTCTTACGGCAGCTATGGTAGCTATGGTAGCTCCTACAGTCCATTGTCATATGCCTCGTATTCGGCACCAGTTTCATATGCTGTGAGTAAACCAGTCACCTATGTCAAAGAACACACAGCCCCTGCTGTTTCTTACATCAAGCAGTATGCAGCACCTGCGGCCGTCTCTTACGTCAAAGAGCAACACGTAGCACCTGCTACCGTGTCTTACGTCAAGGAGCATCATGCACCTGCCACAGTCTCTTACGTCAAGGAGCATCATGAACCTGCCACAGTCTCTTACGTCAAGGAGCATCATGCACCTGCCACAGTCTCTTACGTCAAGGAGCATCATGAACCTGCAGTTTCAGTTCAGCCCGTGTCCTACGCTGTCAGCAAACCCGTTACGTATGTCCAGAAGTATTCTGCGCCTGCCGTTGCAGTTCAGCCCGTTTCCTACTCTGTCAGCAAACCTGTTACCTACGTCCAGAAGTACTCTGCTCCTGCAATCTCTTACGCACCTAAGAGAGTCTCTTATGCTGTGAGAAGTGCTCCCATCACGTACACCACTGTTAGCAAGCCAGCCACTACATACACGAAAACCTACACAGCACCTGCTGTCACTTCAGCCTCCTATATCAGCAGGCCCATCAGTTATGCCAAGACCTACACAGCACCCACCTCTTACGCTTATTCTTACCCAGTAAGCTACAGTTATGGAGGTGGACTTGGTGGCTACAGTTATGGAAGTGGACTCGGAGGTTACAGTTATGGAAGTGGACTTAGTGGCCTTAGTTATGGAAGTGGACTTGGATACAGTTACGGAAGCGGACTTAGCAACAGCTACGGAAGCGGACTTAGCCACAGCTACGGAAGCGGACTTGGCCACAGCTACGGAAGTGGGCTTGGTGGCTACAGCTATGGAGCAGGGCTTGACTACGGAAATGGCTATAACTACTTGGGACATTATGCTTACCCTCAAGGCTATTATTCCTATTACAAAAAATAAACGATTACTCTTGTAAGTTGAAAAACATTTATTTTCATTTAGTATTTAATGATTTGAAAAATTAAAAATATTCAGCAATGATATAATAATAAATTATACTCTCCTGTTCGGTAAATTAATTATGCGTTTAAATATTTATCAGCATAAACCGCAAGTTTACAATACACTTGTAGAAACATTAGGTACATTTTTGGAAGCAGGCAAGATGAAAGCTTAGCAACGCCTTCGCCGAGAATCGAACCGCGAACCTCTGGAATACCGGCCCAGTGTGCAGAGTCACTACACCACGAAGGACGCTAGCAAAGTGGGAGAAATACCTTACACACTATTCAGTTTCATTAAACAGCCCTAGTAAATCGGAAATAGTTTTGAAAAATGTGTTTATTATTAATAGCAAAATCTACAATATTTTTTAAAAAATCAAAAAATACTTTTTTTTCTTAGACAAGATAATACGAGGAAAATCTGTTATATGTGATTAAAGCAATTTTTATCTCTTTCTTAACGAATTTTATTTCTTTCTAGCCTGTCATATTGCTTTTCATTATCATGAATCTAATTTCTTACAGGAAGCGGACAGAGTAACATATGAGAAAAATTCTTTGGTATAATAAGATTTCATCCAATGTTTTTACAAGAAATTCACCTCAATTCAGTTCAGTATGAGAATGAAGAAATATATAAAAGTATGAGTATATATGAAAATGAAGAAATATATAAATAAACAATGAATTTATCCTTCAATTTGATCACCTCCAAACATGAAGAGAAAAATATAAACCATAGTAAAATTTTCATTATTTCAGAATCAATAGTAAATTTTCATACTAATACATATGATTTTAATAAATTATTTACGCAACGTAAATTTGCATAATTAAATAAATAGAATATTAATTTATGAGACATTATAAAGCAATCGTAAGATGAGCGAATATCATAAGCTAGAAAATAAAATAATGCAGTAAGAGTAAGATTTTTTGAGCTAGAAAAGACTTTTTTTTTTCAAAATAATAATGAGAAGAATACACGATAATGTAATATACCAGTAAGCTGCAACTCTCCTGGTCAATTTAATCAGCTTCATGGTTCACTTAGCAGAAGAATACACGATGTTTTTACACACCTTAAAATCAAAATTATGATATTGTGTGGCATTAGTATATTTAAAGTAAGTCTGTAACAGGAAAAAAGTATTTCGGAGGAAGCATATACCAACCCGCAGTATCAAAATTTTGAAATTTTTTAGAACAGATGACTTATCAGTATATAAGTTTATTATTGGAAACTAACCAGTTTTTTATATTTTCAGCCTTTACTGTACCTTCTCATTTCCTCTCCAAAATGCAAATCAGTTACATAGTGTTAAAGCTGAGGTTTTAGGATTGCAAGATAGTGTGTATTTCTGCCTTTCGCGGGCACACTGCGTTAGTTCTGTAACTCTGATAAAAGTTGTATTTTTTGGCTTTGTGTCATTGTTGCCGACATTTGAATTTGAAATGCAGGTTAGAAGTTCTGAGCCAGTTTATATTAAATTGGATTATCTTTGACTGCTACATTATATTTTAAACTGAAATTGATCGTTACTTTGGCTGCATTAGCACGAGTTGTGGCTAATATTGTTAGCATAAGAATGTGCACTTATGTTCTAAATTCTATTTGAATTAAAAAAAGATTATTTTAATCTTCCCAAATATGTGTAGTTGCTTCAAACTTGGCGATAATTCGCCATATGTGTGATAATGTTTGGGACTGTAACTTTGAATGCATCAAGGAAAACCCTATAAATTACAAAAAACAATATTTTGCTTACGTCTACTGCCGTTTTTGATTTATTGTGTAATACAATATAAGACTTTTTACTTAGTAAGACCAACTGTCATTCTCCCAATATTGTAATGAAAAAGATTGCTTATATTATCATCATCTCAATTTATTAACAAACATATACCAAGTTTAATATTTATACAAATATGTGAACTGTTTAATGCAATATATTTTCGTTTCTGCACAAGACTTCATTGTTATATTGTAATAAATCAAAATTTAAAACATAAAATTTTACTGTCGGTGCAATTTTATCAAATTTCTAAATCTTAGACTTCAAAATATGCTGTTTAATATGTTGTTTAAATATGTCACTACTTGTACATTATAATAACTTTAATCCATAAAATTTTTTAAAAATTTCTTGGAGAAATTAAAGTTCAACCGAAGCAATCTCCAGTGCTTAATAAAAGTGCTCCAGTGCTTAAATTTCTTCTCGACTGTGCCTATTTTTATTGCTTTTATGGGATAAATTAATTTATTATTCATAATTAATTAATAATGAAATAAATGAAATTTTCATGTTATATCTTTCAGGATATGACTGGCTTTGACATTATCTTCAAAATTCCTGCAGCAGCGAACTGGCAAAAAATCATTATGCAAAACTGAAAGAATTTTATAATTTAAAAACAATAAATATTTTTTTTTCTGTTAGTGTGTGTGTTTAAAGTTTCACTTCATATAGTTACATAAAATAGGTTTAAAAGTTTTTTAATAATTTAATGAAGCAAATTTTTCCTTTAATCCCCAGTTGCATCTGAAACAAAACAAAAAGTATTTTGAAAGTCCTGTGTCATATTAATGTGCAAAAAAGGGATCTTTCGAAATACTTAATTTGTATGCACTTTTTGATCGACCTCCCCAAAAATCTGAAAACAGGGTTATTTTCATTATTTTAAGCTGTATTGCTGATATCTTATATTATATTGCTGATATCTTTCTAATAAGCATTTTGTGTCAAAATTATTGATCTAATGTAACAGAATATGACATAATCATGTCCCATGGACGCAGATTAAACCGTCTTATTCTTTACACAACTTGCAATCACAATTTGTATGCAAATGGAACAAAATAGCTGAAATTATAACATTTAGCTAATTTTTACAAGACAATTTCACTCAACGCACAGTAAACACAAAAGACAAAATCTACTTTGGTCTATATTTTCCCCCGGCATACAATTTCCTGATAACCAAACTGTTATATAGCAGCCAAAACCGCAGTTTTGCTGTTCGTCATTTTAATTATTAAGAATTTTGCACAGTTTGAAGTTATAAAGGCTTTTCTACTATCAAATCTAACTCGGAGCTTTTAATCCGCATCTAGCTGATGTTTACTGACCATTCAGAGATAAAAAGTGAAATTACAAAACAGTTGGAAAATTAAATTTACTTAAATTTATTATAAATATTACCCGAAGTTTGCCAGACGGAAGGAAAGCTAACTCATCAGCAGTCGAGATGCAAAAATCGCTGAACACCGGTAGTTTTCCCCAAGTGAAAAATCTCTGCAAAAAGATTAGCTAATTGGGAATTTTTGTCATTTCTTCTATGTGAAAAGTGGAAGCAAGCCAATTTCCCTCAGAAAAAATCCTATACGAAAGCATCACTTCCCTTCGGTAGATAGCCTTAGAGTGTTTTCCAATAATCCAGTTATGATAGAAAACAAAACACTTTTTCATCCTTTTTTGCAGTCAAGCAGGCACTGCAGGAACTCCAAAGAAATCTTTTTAATTTAGACCCTAAAAGTTCTAAATTATTTTAGAAGGTAGGCTTCAACCTTTCTCAAATTCGAACTAGAATACTTTAAATTCTCTTATTCCGACTAATATCCTTTTCTTAGATTGATATAGTATAAATCTTTCAAGGTAAATACTAGTACTAGTAACGTACGATAGCTCAGATTTTTAAGGATGCAAATAATCAACTTCAGGCAATCAATTATATTTTGTAAGTCTTACTAAATTATTATATTCGTAATTTATGTATTTTTGAAAAGAAAGAGGATGTTAAATGAAAAAATGTGTTCTGGGAGAGAAAAGTTAAATTATTAACGGAACGGGAAGACGTTATAAACAAAATTTGTGTAAATTTTATTCGTTAGCTTCAGTTAGCCTTATGTTAAATGATTTCTTCAATTTTACAAAGTTAGAATTCTTCCTAACGAGATTAATTAATTTAGATTAATAATAACGGTATTTATCACCAGATGTAAAATTCGTTTTCAAAAAATTCTGCTTAACGTAAATTATTAATTGCTTAATAATTCATTATCAGGAATCTACTTTTAGAATGTCAAAGTATTGAAAAAATATAACTGATTTAAAGCTCAGGATATTTATAACTAAGACGTGTTTATGTTAGTGAAATTTTGTATACTTGTTTGAATATCCTTGATACTATATCTACTATTTCATTATACAAATATATTCCAGATATTAAAGTATTTATAATAAAAAATAATGTATCTTCTTCGTAATTCACATAAAGTTGTAGTATGTGAACGGAACTTAGCCCCTCTAAATGTTGATCTCTAGATAATCGAATACAGTCAGGAGAATTTATATCCCAGTCTTAATCTCTAAGTAAAATAATTCCAACCCAGATTAAGGTTAAAGTAAACCTTAAGTTCGTCAGCCTAACTGTAACATAACCTGTGTAATAATAAAAACAGTTTCGTCAGTCTGTAGGAATAACTGAAAGAAACTGAAGAACTGAAAGAAAGTTAAAGTAAAATTTAACTCATTAAAATATCAGATGTTCAAGCCTACAGCCGGCCTAAAAGCTTCAACTTTCAGCGAGCAATCACGGCTATCAAGACTAAATAAAATTGATATAATTCACAAACTAGGACAAATAGTAGTGAGGCGGCTAAGGATAGATGCCACAAGCTCTCCATTAACTAAAGAATTCTGTGCTTTTAGTACACTGTGGTGAAAGAAATTAGAAACCGTATAGAAACCGTATGACCGTATAGGCAAAATGATAAGATTACTGGTTAAAATACAAATCCGTTCATGTGCATTACATTATGGATTAACGAAACGGAATTTGAGCAGATATTTTCCAAATGAGAATATAATTATAATTAAAATGACTTATGTGAAATATTATTGAAATATATTTTCCGAAAATCATTTGCAAATAATATGTTTTATATCTTAGACATAAAAATCCAATATTTTAATACAAAATTATAGATATAAATTTGAAATATTGATTAAAATTTTATAACTATAAAATTAAAAATAATTTCCAAAATTTCTTTGACAGAAGCATAATAGGTATGGGAGATATCAGAAATATAGCATGAGTCAACTGGTAATGCCTTTCAATACTGACTAAACCGCTAAAAATTGCAAGCTTTATAAGAGTTCACACACACACACACACACAAAACAAAAAAACAAAAAACAAAAACAAAAACAAAAAAAAAACATGATTGAGGAGATGAGTAACTGCAGCTTTCCAAAGAATCCAGAGTTCGCCCATTATTTAAGTATTGTGCAATTTCGCCTTACATCCCACATCCAGTATTTATTAAAAGTAATGACATAGAACATAAGAAGATTACAATATAATTTCAATTCAAGCTGAAATTCACAAATGGAAAACATCTGTTTTGATATAACAAAACTAACAGATAAACATAATAAGTAATTGCTAAATATAATGAGATAAATATAATTAGTACTGGGAACACAATATTATGATGAACCGTATTGCTAATACAAAAGAAGTGTCCACGGGGTCAAATCATTTGAAAATAACGTAAAAAAACACTGTGAGGAAGAATTTGAGAGGTCAAGGATTTGGAAATGCTAAAATTCGGAATGCAGAAAATAATTTTGACATGAAACTTTTACAGTTTTAAAAAAGGTATTTAAAATAGTATGTTGGAACAGGTTATTACAGTCTATAAACTTCACAAGTAGAAAGAAGTCTTTTGAACATATTTCCAGGATATAAAATTTCATTAAATTTATGTAGCATGAGGTACTCGACAAAAGTCTAGCCGTAGAAAGAGGCCTCAAATCATTATGTAAAACTGGGAGAATGAAATCAATTGAAACTTTGGATAATTTTTTGAAAATCTAGATACTGATGTTTATCTTTAATTAGAAACCTCTGGAATTCCAGGAGAGGAGTTTGTGGGAATTGTATGTGACTATGCTCAGTTGAAGGGCATGAGAAAGTGTAATAAACAGAAGTTCCCTGTTCCCCACATGTAGAGATGTTGGAGTTTTCCATATTTCTTGCATAGAAATATGTGGGGAAGCGTCTGTGTCTTTTATATATATTAATTTAATGAAGGATTTGTGTACAGAGATGTGAAGCTTACACTGAGAATCAAATTAAACGTGCGTCTGCCCTGTAAAGCATTATTCCGTCAATATTTTGAAGCAAATTGTTATAGTTGGTATTTGAAATTTGAACGAGGCCATAGAAGGAGGATTTCAGAACAATCTTGATGAAGAGCTATTCCTTTGGGTAATTCGCCCACCAGCGGCGGAGCGGTAAAGCCGCTGAACACTGGTAGTTCGGTCCGAGGTTCGAATCCCGCGAACGGGCTGGCTGCATGGGCGTTTTCGTGGTTTTCCCCAGGTGTAACGTGTATACGAGCCAGTTTCCCTTAGAAAGTCCTCCACGAAGGCATCCCTCCCCTTAGGTAGATAGCCCTAGTGTGCTTTGCCGTAATTAAATAAACAAAACCAAACCTTTGGATAATTCATTTGCTTGATCATTACCAAAATGGCCACAATGTCCTTTGATTCATGATATTTGAACTTGGTAGTTTGGTATTAAAGCAAGAAGAGAATTTATGTCGGAAATTAATGGAAAGCGAAATAAAGGATTCTTAATAACTAAAATAGCTGCTTTGGAGTCAGATTTTATGGTAAGTTCGTTGAGATTTTTTACAAGATGCCTGTTTTAATTACTGTTTTTATGGCTGACAATTGAATCTGGTAAACACTACTATTATTATGGAGGTAACCTTTCCGTTTGATGATATTTGAAGGGGCAATTTTAAAATAGACTGAGTCAACTTTTTTTTTCAATTTTTGATCCATTAATATATGAATTGGAGATAAACTACTAGAATTTCAATTTTATTTAGCTTAAGTAATGCGCTAGATGAATAAGATTGGGATTATTTTTCTTTTCATAGTTGGAAAGCAGAAAGGTCTGGTTGTTAAATTCTACAGCTTGATTAAGCTGATGGACTTTCATGTAAGTGCTTTCCATATTTGCACTGATTAAGAGTGAAAGAGTACCGGTTAAAGTAACAAGAGCTATATTTAAGTTGTGCGATACGCTTGACCTAATGCAAAGAGTAAAAGGACTTTGAATTTAAACATTTAATCTTCCTCATTTGTTTAAAAAATTAAGGAAACTGTTATTTATACAGAATTATATTTGCGCTAATTTTTTACATTAAACTCTTCCTTATTTATTTTATAATGGAAGTATTACCGACAAATAACTTTGATTCCTACTTTTCATCAGTAAAAACTTATCTTCAGATCGGAATAATATCTAAAACTAGTTTTTTAACATATTTGTATAGTTTCCAGAGCAGCCACACCTTGCAGGCACCTAAAAATGATCTTAAAGACAAAATTCTTCGACAGGCGATTCGATCCATGTTCA